GTGCACTCCAAATACTTGTTTACTTTGGCATTAGAGTTTGTTTTGCATGTACAACCACCATTTTCAAACTCAAAGATTGAAAACTGAGGATCGATGACTTTGGGTTGAAGACTTTGGATGAATATTTTTTTTTAGCAAGTATACATGTATTTTTATTTTTGGTATTAGCTACAATATCTCCCATATAAGACAATTTTTTTAGATAAGATCACTGTAGATTACAAAATATTTTATTTTGGTATTTAATACAAAAATATATTTAAGACTTGAATTTGAGACTATTATTATTATTATTTTTTAACTTGTGCCTATTAGTTAAACTTATATTTTTTTTGTTTGAAAAAAAAAATAGATTGGCCACCCCAATTAAGTACTTGTACGGGTCATTTCTTTTAATCTCCTTCATTGCTTACTTATCGTGTTCATGTGCAATAGCACTAGTATAAACATTGACATTAATTGTTAGTTAATTGCATAAAAGTAACATCTTAGTAATTTTTTTTTTATTTTTTTTATTTTATAGTATCTCTCTTATCTTCCTACAGATTGAAGGGGAGAAGGAATGTAACTATTTTATCTTTGCAGTTATAGTTTCTCGTATTAACATATATTCTCTTCATGTTTGCAGTATGTGCTAACAACCAGAGATCTTATTCATTTTTTACAGTTTTAACTCGTGGGAAGTGGTTGTTTCAAATGACAAGTTATAGATCGACCAATAATACGGAGCCTCTAAATTAGCTTCAAAATTAAAGGCGGGCTCAACTTCCTCAAATCAAAATTGATATGGACCACGAGAAAATAAATGTCATGGACCACTGTCAATAAGTCAATAATGACAAAGTGAAAAATGAAAAATAGATAAGGATGGGAAATCTGATATTCAAGATTAATGGAAACGAATAAAATCACCCCATCATCCATGCTAGTTTAACTAAATTAAGAGGGCCTTCAATTATAATAAAAAATACAAATAGCATAACAAACCTCTTAAAAAAAGAATAATTGGGGAAGGTTTGCCTTGTTTAACTTCAGGGTCATCACCAAGAACAACATATATGGTGCATCAAAGAGTAGATTCCACGATGTATTTTTTTCGATCAAAATGTCGCCTGTGTAAGATCGATCTGTGGGGAAAAATTAAAGAATCCTCTTGCATTTTGAAGTGTAAAAATAAACAAAACAAAATACAACTGAAGTGTACCCAGTTCCCACGCAAATTGGAACTCCTCTTTCATATAGATGGTTGACTAAACGGCTAGCACCTATATGACAGATAAAAATGGCACATATGGACATCAATAAGTAAACATTTTAGTAGTAATTAGTAACTGCATATAACACAAATTTTGCATGTTTAAGTTTTTATATAGCTACTAAGTCAATTGAGTTTGACAAGCTTACTTACAAACGATTCAAAACTAATCCCAATTCCCAATTCAGTAACAAAGGTACAATAAAAGAACTAGCTAGCTAGCCACATTACAAAAGATAAAATAAATTTTTTACAATATTATCTAATTGTATATAAATATTATTAAATTATTTTTATAACATATTATTAAATGTTACATATAGTTCATATTAACATGTTATAAAATATTATATATAGTTCATATATTATTAAAGACTTTTAATAACATTTATACATAATTAGACAATACTTTTCAAATGTTATCAAAATGATATTTTTGTAACATTTTAATAATGTTGTTAAGCTTTAGTTAACTTTATAAAATAATAATTAATTTTAATATAGATGTTGCTATCAATTATATCTTATGACTCCTAGTCCTTTATAAGTTATTTAAAGTTAAAGATAATTTTAGTTAGTCATCACTAAATCTATATCAACTATCAAAATTCATTTATCTTAATTATAATTTTATGATTATATATACTCTTTATATATCATTCATTTACTCTATATGAAACTTTAATTTTGAAAAATTATCAGAGATTGAAGAAGTGTACTTTTAACTGCGATTTTTTTTACTCGATATGAGGCTTTAATTTTAAAAATAATTAGAAAGAATAATATTGAAAAAAAATGTTATTATAACTATAATAACATTTTTTTAAAAAAATATATTATAAAATAATTCATTTACTTAATTTATAATAATATTTTAATAAATGTAAGTAGGTAAACGTTATTAAAGAAATAAAATGTATAGAACAACTTAAAAACATGAAAAATATAAAGATGCCAATAATATCAGTAGTATACAAAAGTACCTAGTTACAAAATCATCGCAGAAATATCTTATATAAGAATTTTATGAGTTAAAGTTCAAAAATACACTGCAACCATCTTTGTAATTTTTCCTATATTTACTATAAAAAAAAAAATTCACTGAATAAGAAGCTACAAGTTCTGATATTCGCATATATCACTATGCCGATGTCAATATAATTTCTTCTCGTCCCTATTAGATCCATTTTGAGATGAATCTTTTATGGTTTTCATCATGTGTATATCTACACAAAGGATGGAAGATGCCCAATACATTGTTTTAGAGTCTTGTTAGCATTAAATCAAATCTTAGCAAAATTATGGTTAGTTATGGTTGCATATTTTGATCAAGTGATTTTTATGTAACTCTTATTTGTTAAATTATGTTTGCATATTTTGATTAAGAGATTTTTTTTTCTAATCTGATATTACTACCATGGTGTCGTTCAATAAAATTATAATTTTTTATTTTATTTTACCTTTCCAAATAAAAATTTAAAATATGATCCTTTAGAATATATTAATTAATCAATTCTTATATATAAAATATCAACAATTTTTGATTCAAAGTCTTCTATACAAAATAGTGGTTTGTATTTTTAGATGCAACCCATCTTAACTTGATATCCTAGACGAATAACAAAAAATGACACACTCATAGATTTTTTAAATATTGCCTACAACTCCAACTTTTAAATTCAAATGTGTAAACAACATACAACAAAAACATTTGCCATAAAAAATGATTAAACATACGGTGCATTTGTTTCGTATGACACTAAGAATTATTCATAGAGACAACAACATAATGAAATTTTTTTGACAAATAATAGTTATACATCACAAATAAGTTTATAATGACTAAAAAATGGGTGCTCTTAATTTGATTTTAAAATCCAACAAAGTAGGAGAGATAATGATTTGAAGAATAAAAGTGTTAGAAAAATTTTAGATATAAAAAAAGAAAATAAAAATTTATAGACAAATTTTATTTATGATTTAACGTTAATAGAAGTTCATGTTGAAAAAAAAAGTCAATAACATTATCATACAACCTTCTTTTATATTTAACACTACTGATTGATTTTTCTAAAATTATTAGTAGATTTTTGTTAAGAGATGAAAAATCATCTATTAATTAATTAGTTGTTCATAATTAATATATTTTAGACAATAATTTTTATATATAATTTAATTATTTATTTTATATATATATATAAATATTTTTTTTGGTGTACAGCCAAAAATTAGAGCCTGGGTGATTACTCCTCTAACCCAAGGTCACCACTATTTTTAGGACTTTGAGTCGATGAGATAATTTTTAGAAATTATTTCAATTTTATATCTAATTTAATTTTTATTTATTATAATTATTTATATATTAAATTTTAATATTTTAGAGAATTATATATAAATAAAAACTGTGTTACAATATAAATTATTCACCATAAATAAAAAA